TATTTTAAGTTCGCTTGGTTTCTGCCTAAATTAGACGCTTCTGAATTATTTCATGTTTGGGTCAATCTGGGTTTGCAGGTGTGACTGGATGCTAGTTTTCAACCTGGAAGTAGTTTTTATCCAGGAAGAAGTTCTCTCAGGTTGTGCTAAAATTCGAGCCTTCTGTTATTGAAATTGTTTGATTTCTTGCTTTTGTCAACCATGTTATGCAGGTGGGACAAGATGCGAACTTTCAGCGGGATTGAGTTTTATTTTAGTTAAAATCGCTTGTTTTCTGCTTCAATTCGACTCGCCTTTTATAGATATTGCATGATTTCATGTTCTGGTCAGCCTGGGTATGCAGGTTGACTTGATGTTACGTATCAGCCTGTTTTTCTTTTTCTTTTAGTTAGAATCGCTAGTTATCTGCTTAAGTTTGATCCATCTTTTATAGAAATTGTATTTTTTCTTGTTTGGGGCAAACTTTTTCTGCTGAATTGTAACCGCTTCTCTTAAGGAAGCTGCTACAGGTTTGACTGGGTTCTACGTTTCAGCCTGATTGTAACTTTTTCCGTTTATTTTCGCTTTTTTTGCTTAAAATCGACCCTTATTAAACAAAAGTTGAACGATTTTTTATTTTGGTCAACATGGGTAAGCCGGTGGAACGTTTCATGCAATGTTTCAGCGTGATTTTAATTTTTCCTTGCTTAATTTTGCTTGTGTTCTGCTTAAGTTCAAGCTTTTTTTGTGGAAACTGTATGATATCTGGTTTTGGTCGACCTGGGTATACAGGTGTCACTAGATGCTACCTCTCAACGTGATTGAGTTTCTATTTTAGTTTAGTTCGATTGTTTTCTGCTTCAGTTTGACCCTTCTTTCATGAAAATTGTATGATTTCATGTTTTGGTTGATCTAAGTATGTAGGTTTGATTTAACTCTACGTTTCAGTATGGTTGTAGTTTTCTTTTTGTTCCCTTGTTTTCCCTTTAATTTCAACCCTTCGTTTAGAGAAAATGGATGATTTTTTGTTCTGGTCATGGGTATGCAGTGGGAATGGATGTTACTTTCAACGTGATTCTACTTTTCTTTTTGTTCCCTTGTTTTCCCTTTAATTTCAACCCTTCGTTTAGAGAAAATGGATGATTTTTTGTTCTGGTCATGGGTATGCAGTGGGAATGGATGTTACTTTCAACGTGATTCTACTTTTCTTTTTGTTCCCTTGTTTTCCCTTTAATTTCAACCCTTCGTTTAGAGAAAATGGATGATTTTTTGTTCTGGTCATGGGTATGCAGTGGGAATGGATGTTACTTTCAACGTGATTCTACTTTTCTTTTTGTTCCCTTGTTTTCCCTTTAATTTCAACCCTTCGTTTAGAGAAAATGGATGATTTTTTGTTCTGGTCATGGGTATGCAGTGGGAATGGATGTTACTTTCAACGTGATTCTACTTTTCTTTTTGTTCCCTTGTTTTCCCTTTAATTTCAACCCTTCGTTTAGAGAAAATGGATGATTTTTTGTTCTGGTCATGGGTATGCAGTGGGAATGGATGTTACTTTCAACGTGATTCTACTTTTCTTTTTGTTCCCTTGTTTTCCCTTTAATTTCAACCCTTCGTTTAGAGAAAATGGATGATTTTTTGTTCTGGTCATGGGTATGCAGTGGGAATGGATGTTACTTTCAACGTGATTCTACTTTTCTTTTTGTTCCCTTGTTTTCCGTTTAATTTCAACCCTTCGTTTAGAGAAAATGGATGATTTTTTGTTCTGGTCATGGGTATGCAGTGGGAATGGATGTTACTTTCAACGTGATTCTACTTTTCTTTTTGTTCCCTTGTTTTCCCTTTAATTTCAACCCTTCGTTTAGAGAAAATGGATGATTTTTTGTTCTGGTCATGGGTATGCAGTGGGAATGGATGTTACTTTCAACGTGATTCTACTTTTCTTTTTGTTCCCTTGTTTTCCCTTTAATTTCAACCCTTCGTTTAGAGAAAATGGATGATTTTTTGTTCTGGTCATGGGTATGCAGTGGGAATGGATGTTACTTTCAACGTGATTCTACTTTTCTTTTTGTTCCCTTGTTTTCCCTTTAATTTCAACCCTTCGTTTAGAGAAAATGGATGATTTTTTGTTCTGGTCATGGGTATGCAGTGGGAATGGATGTTACTTTCAACGTGATTCTACTTTTCTTTTTGTTCCCTTGTTTTCCCTTTAATTTCAACCCTTCGTTTAGAGAAAATGGATGATTTTTTGTTCTGGTCATGGGTATGCAGTGGGAATGGATGTTACTTTCAACGTGATTCTACTTTTCTTTTTGTTCCCTTGTTTTCCCTTTAATTTCAACCCTTCGTTTAGAGAAAATGGATGATTTTTTGTTCTGGTCATGGGTATGCAGTGGGAATGGATGTTACTTTCAACGTGATTCTACTTTTCTTTTTGTTCCCTTGTTTTCCCTTTAATTTCAACCCTTCGTTTAGAGAAAATGGATGATTTTTTGTTCTGGTCATGGGTATGCAGTGGGAATGGATGTTACTTTCAACGTGATTCTACTTTTCTTTTTGTTTCAAGTTCTCTTGGTTTGTGCTTAAATTTAACGCTTCTTGGAGACATTGTATGATTTCATGCTTCGCTTTACATGAGATGGAATGTAGGTGAGACTGAATGCTTGGTTGTAAATTTCTTTGAGTTAGGTGCTCTTGTTTTCTACTTAAGTTCGACCCATTTTTATGAGAATTATATAATTGATGCTACCTTTTATTCAGCGCGATATCGCTTGATGCTACCTTTCATTTCCATCTTTTTAAGAAAAATGAGTGATAACTCTGCCAGTAGCTCAGCTAATTTTTTTGGCAAGTGAAGTAATGCAGTGAAAATTATTAAAAGGAAACTGGGTCTTTTTTGAAGGTTGTTCAGTAAAACTTTAGATGAAAATCACGGAGAGCTCTTGTAAAGAATCTGCAGGTACTTTCGAAATCTAGCCGCTGTTTATAACGCTTTCTTAGCCATACTGCTCGTATCATGGCAGAGCCTTGATTTTTTGAATTCCCAGTAAACTCAGGAATGGAATTTATATCGGAAATATTTATAGTGAACCTGGAGGTTACCGACAATTCAACATTTTTTCGAAAGCGACAACTAGCTGTATTTAAAAATTTTGATGTTTTTAGACGCTTAGAAGCAACATCACTGTTTGCAGCGTGATTCAGTGAGTTTTTTTCTGTCGGTTACGTTAACTGGGCTATCAAACAAACTTTTTTTTGGCATATTCTTAGAAATTAGTCAAACATGGGTAAAAAAAATCTGAGTCAGAAAAAACCTCCTGTTTTAAAAGAGCTCAGAGAGAAACGTCCCTCCATGGTTTTCGATACACAAAGCTATCACTTCTTGAATAATTATTTGAAACAGAACTTGAGTACTTTATGATGTTATTTTTGGATGTCCGTTTTCATATTTATTTTTATTATGTTTCACTGAATTTTGCATGGGCCTGATCACTTGCAACCTGAGTCTTTTCGACCGAGGAACTTCTTCAAGAAATGCTGAAATAGCTTGACTTTTGGCATATTACTCTGACCCTGCGAGTTATTTTAAAACAACAATTTTAAAACAAAAAACTTTAATTTTAAAACAAAAAACTTTAATTTTAAAACAAAAAAGCTCACTGCATATAAGATTATCAAACATGTTCAGTTCTATCTTTAACTATGGAATAAAAGGGTCGAGTTTATCCAGAAAATGTCAAAACAGCCACAAACGGAAAAAAAAACACCTTTTCTCAGATTTCTTCAATTTGACCAATGAAGATCTATTGAACACAATATAAAGCTAGGAAATTCAAAATAACATCTCAACAGTTTAAGTTTGTTTTCAATATTTCCTCTTTTTTTCTTTCTTTTGAAAACTCTTACTTGTTTGAGTTTTTGTGCTCTGGTAGAGATACCAATGAAAAGCGGAGGTTTAATTTTTCAGCTCAGAGAAGTCTGAAAACAGACCAGAAGGTCTCATGACTATCTCCCAGGTTAATGTTTATTGGTTGTAAATGCCGTTCTTATAACAATCACTTCTGAAATACTAGCCTGAAAACAATTCATAATTAGATATTATTGTTTACTCGTCTTCCGTGAATAAGAAACATTTAGAAACATCGTTTTTTATGGGCTCAACCTCCCCGGGTTGACCTCCATACACCGAAAATGGTTATCATACAATTCCATACATCAAGTGTATGGAAAAATGTTTGTCATACATTTTTCATACAATTTCTAAAAACGGTTAAAAACTTGCCAAAAAATAAAAGTTCGTTACTTTTGTTATATCAATTGTGAAAAACATCCAATTTCAGGTTGTTTGCTATGCATTGTAAATGCAAGACCGCCCAACCTTTGGTGTTTTGAGTAACCAAGGTCTTTGTCCCTTGTGTTAGGTTGCAAACACAACCAAAAACTTTTCAGAAACTAAATTTTGAAAGAAAAAAATCAAAAATTTTTGGTTTATGGAAAAACACCTATCATATAATATTCATTTATGGAAAAATCTTTATCATAGAGATTTCATACAATGTTCTGTACGTATGGCATTGTATGGAATTGTATGACAAGAAGTTTTTCATAAATGGAAATTGTATGATTAGAAATTTTGGTCAACCCGGGTCTACTGGAAAGTGTTAGTCAACAAAAAGGAATTGTGGGATAGATGATTTTTTTTCATATCAACCAACTGGGTAGCAGCAGTTTGCTAGAATAGAACGTTTTATAGTTGTAATAGCCCTTGGCTGTCGTAAAATAACACCAATGGGAGGAAGGACCCTGTGGAAAACTATGGCAACCATCAGAAAAAAGGAGTAGAGTTTGCCCCCTCCTCCTCCTCCTCCTCCTCCTCCTCCTCCTCCTCCTCCTCCTCCTCCTCCTCGACACACTGATGCACTTCATATTTATCTATTTATCTTTTTTAATTAACACGATTAATTTCCCTCTGTTGAACGATTGATTTGGAATAGTAATACTTTTATCCTCATTTGTACTCATAGACACGTCATCCGGCAACGCCTTCCAGTTTCCCCCTGTGACCTCATCTGCTGGCTGGGGTGGGAACAATAAGAGGCAACGACAGCAGCATCAGATGCCCCCCTTTGTGGAGACACACCCAGTCACGCCCACGTTCACTTCGGGCATCCCTGTGCAGAATAGCCCCCCTGTTCCCCCCTCTCAATTCAGACCTACAGGGGACGGAAAGGTGAGAAAAGCAGACTAGTTTAGCCTTTGATATTGAGTTAGGTTCGAGGTGTAACTCATATAGTAATTTCGGATAGGGTACACCGTCTGCTCGTCACGCTATCTTATTTTCGGCCGGATAGATTCGTGCAACTTCGTAGTCTAATACCGATCCTAATCTTACTCTTATATCTACTAGTCTCAGGGTGTTTAACTAGTCTCTGCTAGGCTCAATAGATCTAGAGTATACTGGCTTATTGCGATTGCTAAAGTTCCCTTGGAGAGGTAACTAATTTCGAAGTTAAATTCAAATCTCTTTGATGCTGAAATTACAAGTAATTTCAGCACTTACAAATAAGTGAATTGTTAGTTAGATGGATCGTGATTGGTTAATATTAAACATTTTGTAGAGATAAAATATCCAATGTATAAACAAATAATAATTATAGTTTATATCTGGTTCCACCCATCCGGGGTTTACAGAGTTTTGAATCTTAGATCTTCTATCTGTAATGAAGGATGGATGTTGGTCGTTGTTGTTTGACGAGCATTATTTCCTGTTTTGTTCTTGAAGAAGAAAGCTCCAAGAAGCTAGAGTCATCGATGGGAAGTTGTTAGTTATCGTTTGACAAAGACTATGACTGTCAATGAAATCAATCTGATTTCAAGTTGGTTTGGTATGATCGTTTGTTCTTGATTGGTTGTGGAGAACTCTGTTTCGATCTGGTTTGGGAATGGCGTGAAGATCGTGTTTGGAGCCTTGTAACTCAGATCTGTACGTATACTTGAACATCGAGATGGTCATTGGTCTGATTCAATGAAGTCCTTTTCTGCGAAGTCAAGTCGTACTCTAAATCCTTTATGAGCTGTGATTGTGAGCGGCATGTCAGTTGTATTTAGCCATCCTGTAGGTTGAGTGTGATGGGTTACGTTAGTCTTTGGATGCTCGTTCTTGTGGTTTTTCGTGATCTATGTACTGCATAATACAATTTACATTTTATAAAATTTTGTTAGTTCTCATTTTTTAGTTTTGATTTTGATCAATTGTTTTCGCAAAAGCGTTTTAGTTTTAGTTCAATTATTTTTAAGAGTTACTCACACTTGAGTACCTCTTGGCAAAAACAGTGATGTGGTCACAAAGCGTGGATGTAGCACGGTGGGTTAGGCCGGCTATAGAGCATGCTCAGGACGTCCTCTCTGGTGGGTTAGGCCAGTAAGGGGAGTATGATTTCTTGCTGGTTTTTTTAAGGGATCCTGTTTTGTGTTAACTTTTGTGTTATATTATTTTTTGTTTTCCTTTTGTTTCGTTGGTTGTGTCCTTTTCTCAAAAATCAAACTGTTTTTGGTTTGGGTTTGTCTTGCGACTTTTTGGTGTTTTATTGTTTCTTTTTTAGACTTGGTAATAGTCTTCAAAAGAATAATTTATCCAGTTTTAAGCTAGTTTAATCCGGTTTGGGTACCGTGGGTTTTTTTTCTTAGTCATGCTGTTAGTTTATGGTTTATGATGTTTAGTAAGCTGCGTTGGTTAGTTTGGTTATTATATAATTCCATTCCAACCGGTTTAAAGGAAAAGTGGAAACTTGTTATTGCTTGTTTGAGTTGTTGTTAGTGCACACTTAAAACTTGAATTCATTATTTTAATCAATTCTTCGTGGGCGAGCTGTGCAATTGTGGATAGAACTTCTGTGCATTTAAACAGGTTAGTTATAGAAAAGGTTAGTACATTTAAAGTTATAGAAAAGGTTAGTACATTTCATTTGTATGAATTTACTGCTTTTAAGGTGAAATTTTACTGCTTTTGGGGTTGTAATGTAATTGATTTTCATCGTATTTTAAATTTACTACATTTGGGGGAATAATTTATAAAATAATTTACTAACTTGAATTAACTTTTACTGCATCATTTAGTGCTGTTGGTTTAATAGAGTTTGAAGTGGAAAACAGAGTATATATTTTCATTTGTCTTTTCTTGTTTTGAAGGTGATTGTGATGTGAAGGCTAAAGAGAACACAAATTACTGAATAAAATGGTTAGTTCGATTTTGAATTAGTTAGTTTGAAAATTATTAAATTCATAAATACTTTTAGTCATCTGGGAAAAAGCCGTGTGGGAAAATGTCGTGAATAGCGTCTGAGGTAGTTAGTAGTTTTGCTAGTATGCGTATTATGTTTTTAGTTTGCAACAGTGGCCAAAGCAATTGCAGTGCTATGATGGTTTTTAGTTCTTCGGTGCCTACTGCAAATTTATGAGGTGTGTTCTGGATTAGATTATAAATTTCATGATTATATTCAGTATTATGGGTTAATTCTAAAATGGGTACTTCTATGGGTTGAATATATTCATGCGGAATGATCAGATGTCGGGATTCTTCGTCATTGAAGGTCTTCGTGAGGGGACAAAAACATACATTTGAGCATTTGAGTGATGGGATCATAATTTTGGTGGATGCCTTGGAATTTAGTATTTTTAATGCAATACGTGAAGTTTAGAAAAAATGGTGAGCTGTAATTGGAATTAATGAATTGAAATCTGTGGTGGGGTTGGCGTGATGGTGTCTGTAAATGAAAATGATTTTGGATACAGCGATAGTAAGTATAGGTATGTGTTTGCTTAGTTCTCAACATGATGTCGTGTGAGCAATGCAAATCGCGTTCTTTTGGTGTCAGGAAGTGAAAACTTAGTGAAAATGTTTGAAATTTTTTGTGAAATGATTCATATGCTTGGATGTCTGATGGTGCTTCTGAAATAATGTGATCATGCTTTTTATCTAGTATTTTAAGTGTGAATATGTATGATGATTTAATAAAAAACTTTTCTGTGATTTGTGGATTTGCAAATATATCGTCATCAAGAAATTGGTCTTGATTAGATCTGATGATATTATGATCGTAATATTCAATTGAGTAGTCGTTAGCGCGGGGTGCAGTGAATGTTTTTAGTAATTTTTTATATCCTACGTATGTAAATTGTCGTGGAGTGAGTGCTGTGGTTAATCTGAATAATTCGTCTTTATTCCTTTCAATATCAATAGTGCTGTTGTAGATTGGTAGCATGAGGGCATTAGTGAAATTATAATAAGCTGTCCAATGAAGTGTGGGTTTTAATACATGTTCATCTACAAAATGACGTGGTTCAGGGTTAAATTCAGATTGATTTAGTGTACATTGGGGAAATAAAGGTAGAGTTATTTGAAGAAAATTCGTAGTATTGGTGCGGTCTGGATGATTGATATATTCTCGGGCGGTTCCGGGTTTCGATGGGATTGGTTGATTGTAGAATTTACGTTTAAAGGTTCTATAAGCACGTTTAGTACTGTTGGATGATTCTGTGGAAGTGGATGAATGAGCTAATGATGGAATATAATCTGAAGTTGGTGTGGGGGTTGGTGGATTTGATGATGTTATTGTTGATGATAATTGGTGAAAAATGAAGGTGTGGGGAGATAGCAATTGTTGTTGGAGTGTTATGAAATTATCTAGTTCTTCGGAATGTTGGATATTATCAGGGGAGTTGTTGGTGGAGCGTTCATTATTGAATGGGGAGTATGTTGGGGTTACTTGAGAAGGAGTGTAGGGAGATGTATGTTGGCTATGGGATTGTATAGGTTGGAAAGGGGGTTTTGAAAAGGTTGTTGAGCTGGTCGGGGTATGTGTAGAAGGGGATGAATCTGAATCGGCGATATTGTCGGGGTTTCAAAATCAGAATTTTGGAATTGTGAAATTGTTGTATAAGTTGTGACATCTGAGTTTGTGTCAGAATTCATACCGGATGATGTGTTAGCTTGTGGTGAATCAGGTGGCGGAAAAGCAAAAAGTGGGATAATAGGGAGTGGATTTTGGAGGTTGGCAGGGTGGGAGTTTGATCGGTGGAGTGATCCAACTTGTCTGCTCATCGTGGGCTACAAAAAAATGATAATTTTGAGACTGAAAAATGGTGGTATGGGGCTGTTCAATGATTTGTTCGGATGTATTGTCAATTGAAGGTTGTTGTGTCACTATATGTTGGATGGGGCTTTGTATGTGGCTGGGTCTTAAGTTTAGGGGGTTTGTGATTTCTAAATTTCGAAAATTTCGTGAGACTAAAAATAATGGGTGATTATTTGGCAAATTGGGTGCCGTAGGTAATGCATTTGTATCATTATTTGAGTCATCGTATGTGTTGGGATTTGTTGATAGTTTTGTATTGTATTCTTTAATTTGTGCATCTAGGAGGATTTTATTTATTGATGATGAAAATATTCCAAAAAATCCTGCAAATAATATGCGTGCTACGCTGGCTTGTCTGTTTACTTGTGTATGTATTGCTCATGTGTTTTAGATTCCTTCAGAAAAGAAATCCTATAAAAATAAACATTGTGTATAAGATAATCAATCTTTCTAAGATGTAATAATGCCATCCTAGAAAGGCTAAAACTTCGTTTTTCAAATTTACAAAACTAAAGATATTGATTGGTGATATATCTTTTGGTCGGTATTTTTCACCGTTTAAATATATGTAATCTCTGATATCTTTAAAATATCCGCTGTAATCTTGTGCGTAAATATCTGAAAATCCTGCTGTTTCTGCAGGTTTTTGTAAATTTTGGTCTGTTGATTGTCGTTGTATAGTGTCCATTTGTGTTAGTAGTTCTTGAAACTCTTGTGTTCTAATGTGATGTTGTATATCGGATTTAGAATATATACCGATTGATTGTAAATCAATATTTGGGTTGCGAGCAATAGCTCGAATGCTTTCTGATGAAAACTTTTTTAGTGGCTGCATGAGTGTAGGGTATGGTGCAAGTAGATAGTATTTATCTTCGTCAGGGTTTAATTGTACGACGTTGTGGCTATTTTCTGATCCACATGGGACTGCGTTATCCCAAAAATATGTTCGTCTTGAAAGTGTATCAACAAAATGTACTTTATTTTTGTAGAATATGGGGATTCTTCGAAAACATATAGTGGTGATACTTTTTTGGTGCAAGTTTAAAAACATAAAATGTTTCCTTCAAAGTCAAGGAAATTTGATCAATTTCCGGAT